AGGCCTTTTTTTTTTTTTTTTTTTTTTTTTTTTTTAAATAGAATTTATTTAAAAGAATAAACTTATTTTCTAAAGAGATGCCAGCAACGTGGTCTCCGGAGCAGATCCACAGCTGCCTGAAGGGGCCATGTTAGGAAGCCAGTTAGGAACCTCTAAACAAACCACTTCTTCCCCCTCTAAAGCTGAATTTTATTGTGATACCCTCCCTCAACCATTGGCACACTTATTCCTTTACATGACAAAAACAACCCTATATTTCAATTGCCTTTTTGGACCCTTCTCTAATTCTCCTTTTGCTCTCTCCCAACTGAGAAGCTTTACCATTACTTTCACTCTTCCCTCACTGTGTAAGCAGGAACAATGGTTAGCATGTAGCCACAGCATCAGACTATTGCAACCAGACCGAGCCAGAAACATTACATCCAATTCGTCTGCTCTCATCACATCCTTATCATTATGCCTTACGAAGTGCAAGCCCTGAAGGAATAAGCCAGCCATGTATTCACTTGGAGTACCTGACAGAGACAGAGAAGCTCCCTAAAGACTCAGGCCCCTCATAATTATTTGTGCATGCATCCAGCCCCTACAATTCATGAACCAGCTGCATGCCATGCATGCTTTCTCCTGCCCCCTTTTCCAGAGAAGTCAGCCTCCTCCCCACAATCTATTTCAGAAGAGAAGTTTGCCTTAGGGTATCAAGTTCAACCACAACACGCATTAAGTACCTTCTGCACAACTTAGCTATGTATTATGTTTGAACAGAAGAGAAATAATACCACTTTCTGATCTGTGCTGTTCTCTCTCCTCACATACTTTGCTGTCAAGATTCCTGATAGCCAAGATCTTTAAGCAGCACACTCAGTACTAAGTTGATAGCTGCCTTCAGCACCTGCACCACTATTGCATATGCTTTTCTTACCGAATGCCATTAACATACGTATTTGCATATCAATGTTACCTAATGGCTTTGGCATCTATTCTTCACATTTACCAGTTTAATACTAAAGGATGAACATGAACCAGGTCAGTTCCAAAGACTATCTACTTTGGGGTTGCTGGAGACCATGACATTTGTGGGACCCTCCCAACTCAGGCACTTCTATGATTAGAAGTAGCTCAAGGTCTATTTTTCAAAGCAAGCTAAAGTTACTGCAGACTTCCAGAAGCAATTTATTTAATGTCAAGCCACTAAAAGACTCATCTGCATTGGGTTTTACCTTTGTCACCAACTTGATTTGGTACTACATTACTTACATTCCATCAAGAAAGAAATAGAGCCAGTTAATACCAAGATCAAGCATCACAAGCTGCAACGTTCTCCAGAAGTCTGCTTCCAGGAACATCAACTGCATAGGCTGTGCCTCGTCGGAAGAAGCGTGCTGATGTTCAAAATCCCTGGCAGAGTTTCATGAATAGAGTTCTGATAAAGTTTGATTTTTTCAAGTCAGACTATTTCAGCAACATTCTCATGCTTAAGGCCTTGACGTCTTACTTCAAGTTAATTAAAACAGCTTATTCCATTACCATCTCCATCTTTTGGGCATAGAATTTTGCTATTCTTTAAAAGCAAACATAATAGTTTGTGGGGAAGCAATCTGGATTTGCAGGTTTTAGTGACTGAAAGAAATATTCACACTAGGGTTTCACTAGCATGATCAAAATAAAGTATCTGCAAAAAGGAAATCTCATTAGGATTTCTCCTTGACAGAAAGAGAAGCAAATCAATATTTACATGTATAGTATTAAAAAAGTTGCATCCTTCCATTGCCAAGAAAGAAGTTCAGACATGGAATAAAAAGAGATCAGCTCCTCAAACTTCAGCTTCTCCAGTGCTCTGCTGTCCAAACGCTCCTCAGCCCTACCAGAGGAGGTGCTCCTCAGTAGTTCTTTAAGAGACCAGGTTCAGTACCTTCAGGTCTCCCAGGCATTCCTCCCTCAGCTGATGCAGAACATTCTGTATTTTCCATTTTTATTTAAGATTTTGAAGTTAACCACCAGAACACATTATACGGGTGAGAACAGGTAACTGTAATTAGCTGAACGTCGTACTTGCCTGCAACAGCACACACTGGTCAAACTCCACCAAGACAAACAGCTGCGTGTAAGCAAAGAAACTGTTTCAAAGCAAATCTATTTTTGAGGCAAGGTACCTCAGAAACAAACACACACACATATGCTCAGAGTGCATGTCAGAACTCTTTTTTCAGTAAGTTAACTCATTGTTCCAAACATAGATTCAAGGTCACACTCAGTCTCAACTGGGAGACAAGCAGCTTAAATCCAACAGACACGCTATGCAAAGCACACAACCCTTCCCAAATTCAGCCAGGTCTACAACACACAAAATACTGGAGACTAAGGAATTTTCCCAGTTGTAAGTCCATCGTAGCCCCGTATGAGATAGGTCACCTATAAGCAGATCCAGGGAAGTGGTTTCCACCAATAGAAAAAAAATAAAGCTGAGAAGTTGAGACGGTTCAGACCAATGCATTCCTTCAAGGCAATTATCACCTGCAAGTTTAAACAGTCCAAATGTTACGTGTTCCAAACCATCTGACAGCACAGACCAGTGCTGTATGCTCTGACCTCTCAGTCAGACCCGTACTCACATACAACCTCCTGTTTTGACTGTCTAGTACATGGGTATTCTAAGAGCCCCTGACTAGTTCAAGTCTCAGTCAGTCATTCCAAAGTCCACAGCATGACTCACTGCAACCTAGGTGTGTTTTAACATTCAGCAGTTGTTTTCTTGACAGGAAAGGGAGAGTCCCTGCTGTAGCACTAAAGATCACTTTACTTTCAAAACTAATTCAGCAGAAGTAAGCGCTTCATCCTTCTGGATTCAAGCTCTCAGCATCACCTCCTTTGGGGAGAGCATGAAACAGTTTCCATGCAGACCTCCTAAGACATCTGTACTGCAGTGCATATATTGAACAAAATATGCATGTGCCTTTCCAATAATGGCACGACCTTGCAAGATGACCTGACAAAGCACCACAGAGAAGAGGCAAACACCAGGCACAGAAACAGAGAGATGACCTAATTCATCTTTTCCATTCGGTCCTCAGCAGCTGTCTACACAGTTTTAAGAACTGGCAGTCTGTATTTAGGACTGGCCCTGAACGATCTGGAATCCCATTTAGTAGATGCATTGGGAACTTCAGCTACAGCACATCTGCCTACACCTGGGGCAGAGATCGATTTCATCTAGCATTAGCATTCCATGCTTACATTACTCCTAAAGCAAGAAGTTAAGTTCTGTGGTCCCCAAAGAACTACGTAAGCCAGGAACACTAAGCGTGGAAATGCAAGTTCTCCTTTCCATAGGTCTTCATCAGACAAAGCCAACAATCCAGCAAAAGCCAAAGGATTATTCAAGTTCTCATGAAAGATGCCTGAAGTCTGACAGTTTTTTCTCCTGCCAAAGAGAAATGAGTTCAAAAAGTGTTATTTTTTCAATAATTGCAGTTTCTGATTAAATAATAGCTATACAGTACAGCCAAAGCTCTCAGGAAAGGGTGGGTTTTTTTTTTTTCCTTTGTATGGACAGGTTAATCTCCAACTGATCAGTAGCCTTCTTCCATAACTCCATTTACAGATTTCCCCTGATACACTTCCAGTGTTATTTTACACTTAGCAAACATATTACTGATAATAAATTCTTCCCTTCAGGACCTTGACTACCTAGAAGTCTCCTCCTGTGTGCTCCATTTGCAGTCTTCCATAATGACAGAATAGCAGTCCAAGCCTAAATTTGCATTTAAAAATTACTTACGTGATCTGCGGCCATGGAAGTGCTGAAGGCCCTGAGATACAAGACCAGCAACACTCAAAGTGAACCCAGAGCAAGGAGCTACACAGGGTTTACTGGCAGCGGCTCCTGTGCGGCCAACTTGTTTTTAAAGCCAACCTTTCAAGCTGTCAAATGAACTCTGAGCAACAGCTCTCTGATTGTTTTTATTCAGTTCACTTTTTGCTCTGTTTGGAAGCCCTCGATCAAAGGCTTGTTATCACTGACAGCCAGAAAGGTAATAGAATTTCATATGCTTCCCTCTCTCTCTCACTGCTCAGAGCTGCTGGAAGAAGAGCCTTTTGTATTGCTCTACTCCATGGTAACTTCGAGGAGAGACAAATATATGGTTTTTTATTTAGCCCATTAACAGTATGCCAGTAATTTGTTATCCTCCACCCAGACAACTTTAAGCTAAGGAAGTCTAACAACTCTAAGTTCTGAGAGCTAAATGCCAACATTCCAGATAACCTCTAACAAGTTCTCATAGAAAGCCAGCCCTGACTTTGGTGCTAAGTCCCTGCCTGCCCACCTCCACGTACAACAATCTCCACTTAGAAGAACTTCACAGCATTCATTCATCTGGCATTGAAGCTTCCTGAGGAAGTTTTATCCAGAAAATAAGATGGTGTCAGCCTGGTATGACTGTATGTAGGACATTTAGCATCAGAGCAAACAGCTTCCTGCTTTCAGAGCATAATGTGGCTCCTGTATCTATAGGAATTAAAGGCTAGAATAAACACTTTCATCAATGTTAGGAATTGGTACAACACTACTTACTTTGTTCCTTTTACAAACTAAGAAGAAAGCACAAACAAGACCACAGGTAACTCGGGACTTCTTGGTTTACAGGCCTTCTATGTTTTGGTGGGTGCTCAGAGCCATAGGACATGGAATTATTTCCAGTGCCTGGTATGGCTGCAGAGCCCAGTTCACATGAACTGCCATTCCGATGCACGGGGTGAATGACACAAACTAGAAGGCAGCTGTATGCTCAGCTGCAGCTTCCTGGAAATAAGTGAGGAGGAACCTGGAAGGCTCAAACCACTGAACAACGTGGAGCTGTACAAAATTAAGCACTGCAAGTCATCAATAGTCTTACTTAACTTAGCTAGTCAGCCTCCGATTGAATTAGACTTATGCTAACTGTCAAGTACAAAAGCATTTGAACACTACAGTAACACTCAGGGTCAGCAAACCCATGGTTCTTGTATGGGAACTGCTGAGTCACGGCCTGAACCTCTGATGGATCACCTGAGGCGAGCCGTGAGTCAGCCAGAGGAGCACAGGTGGAGGCAACTCACCTGTGCTGCTGAAAGGTGTGGAGCCTGGCTGCACCTCTCCTAGACCTATTCAAGAGCTGGCTACCAGTGGGGAAGGATCTCTTCAGTAGAGGCGATCTCCAGGTGTCTTGTGAGTGAACCCAGAATAGGGGTAAGCCTTCTATTTATTCTCTTTTGTTACCATAGTCTGCTTTGCCTAACTCTTGTTTATTTTGTGATTATAACATCCTAACATCTTTGATTATACAGTTCTCAAAGACCAAAAGCATAACATAAAAGAAGAAGAGAGATTTACAGAACTGAGACAGCACAGATCATTAACAAACATCTCCGCCCCACAAACTAAAGAGAAGAAGAAAATATCGCCATCACTGCTGTAGCACCTTCCCCATCACCTCCAGTTTTCCTCATTGCCCTCCTCTGAAAATCTGCTGCTCCCCATTACTGAAAGCACAGCATCAGGCTTCGGCTCCCATACAGAAACAACCACAAGTCTATGGCTCTCACGACGTGCCAGCCAACCCCAATTTATATTTATGCCTTCCTAAAGATACAAACTACTCAGCCTTCAAGCTCTACAATGTTCCTTCTACTTCAAGTTCTATTTCTTCAATATAGAGACTTCTACTCTTTATTTTAAAAAGGCATCTATTGTACAACTATCTGCTGTTGTTCTCTGCTCACCTGCTGGATAGGAAAAATGCCTGCATGAGAGTGATTTAGAAGCAGCTGTTACGTGTCATTTCCTCAGCAGGGTAAAAAAAAATTCCAACATAGGTGCCTTTTGTTACCTTGCAAGTATGTCCCATTTCCTCAGCACCAGCACACCAATAAAAGACCTCCACTAAATCTAATAATTCTTGATGAACAAGAAGTATTATAGGCGCTTTAACAGGCTTGACTACAACCATGCTAGTTAATCTACAGCTTAACCTAATTAAAATATGGATTTGACACCACAGATGGATGAAGCTTTGGCTGCCCCACTCTCAACAGCTGGGTCACCTGCATTAGTGCTATGGCTTCCTATTCCCATTACTGCACACCCTGCTTCTCTCAGGAGAACACTGGAGCCACTAGTAGCCATGACTTTGCAGGAGTGCTAATGATCACTTCCTGAACTCTTAAGAGCAGACATGCCTCAAGCCAATGCTTTTCTACCTTCCACAGACGTTAATTAACCCCATTCTCAGCTTCACCTCAAGATTTAGATATCTGTGTATATCAAATCAGTGATCTGAACTCACCCCAACAGCTTCTAAAAAAGGAAATAAGGCTGCACGCACAGAGGCACAAGCTTCCAGGACCTCAGACAGAATGCTTTGCTGCCATTTATCCTGCATCCTTCACCACTCCGCACACATTTCAGAAGTTCAGCATCCAGCAGGGTGGCTGGCATGCTGCAAGGGATGGCTGCACGGGAGGGAGAATCCCCTGTCCTATTTTTATTGTGATCCAGCAGATCTCAGTCACTCTAAGAACCTCCATGCATTCTAGGACTTCTCCTACAACTCTCAATCCTTTCTCAGAAACAGATTCAGTTTTCCTTGTAGGAAAACACGTAGCACTCCAGCAGCAGATTCTAATGAAGGACAAAAAAAAAAAAAGACCTAAGATACAGCTATGAGTAAGTTAAATATAGAATTCATGATCTGAACTTAAATTTAAAACAGTCTTCAACGGTAACTCCACAACTGGGGATGTGCCAAGAAGTACTGCTCCCAATCTAAGGCCTGGCTCCGTGCCATGAAGTAGCTGCTTTTTAGCCAGTTACTCACGAGGATGAGTCAACAGCATTTGCTTCAATGTAAAGATGGCAAAAAATGACTTGAGGCACTACCCCAACTGCTGTCAGGAGAACTGGTACCAGTCGCAAAGCATTGTTAACTGCAGTGGTTTAGTGTATCTGATCTTCAGATTAATGCTGCATCTTAGCTCCCATCCTCAGAAGACTGTAACGCCCCTTTACTCAGATGCCACTTTCACCTCTACAACACTTTCTGTATGAACTTCGCCAGCTCATTTAGAATAGGAAAGCAGAAAGAAACAGATTTTGTTCGTGTAACAGCACCAAGCTGACATTTACTGAACTTACCAGATGCTTTGAGCACCCTGGTCTAGAGGGAGGTGTCCCTGCCTATAGCAGGGCATTGGAACTAGATGGTCTTAAAGCTAAACCATTCTATGATGCCCACATGTACAATTCAAAAATTAAACAATAAATCAGGATTTCCATTTTTTCTGAGGCCAAAGATAACAGCAGTGAAAAACAGGGTTAGGTTCAAAGCTTGTTCATCATTTGACACCGGGTAATTTTAGTTGAAATCAGGAATCTATTTGCTTTTGCATTAATCCACCGACTTCATTTTCAATGAAATAATTAATTTGTGCTGCTGGAAAAGCAGTGTCTTCTAATACATGGCTTTCAATGGTGGTTGGTTGTTGTTGGGTTTTTTTTTTTTTGCTTTCTTTTTCAGTTCAATAGGTTAGCTCTAGAACAAGATCCACAGTAAAACCACAAGGACAGAGACTTTACCCTTAGTATTCGTTGTTTCTTAATTACACGAAGCAGAAGTATTAACAATGCTGCAGTCTGAAGAGGGAGGTTGAGGAGGAAGGAAGGAAAGGGGAGCTGGCAAAAGCACCGTGCTAAGCCACACTTTCAGAATTGAACGCTGCAACCTCACAGAAGATCAAACATTTACAAGCATCCTCTAAACCTGAAGGCACTAATAACTGAAGTGAGGTACATCCTCCTGCTCAAGACTAGTTCATTACAGGTACTGCCCACAGGGTACAGAAAACAACCACCAGCACAAGCAACACTCCCTTCAGTCCGTTCTTCAAACTCCAAGATGCACTCTCTCATTCCTAGAAATACCTGACAGGTGCAATGGAGAGCTGTTTGTGGAAGACATCCTGAAGGGGCATCTGGAAACAAGCAAGAAACCTCACATCTCTAAGTCTTCTGCAGTAACAGAAGAACCAGATTAGAACAACGGTTTGCATTTCAGCTACAGCCATGAGGATGTAACCACCACCATACTGCTGTTTCAAGGCCTTTGCAGCTTTAGCCACTACCTCTTCACCAAGTTCTAAGCCATAAGCAAGCAGCCATCAAAACTCTCTCTCTACTGCTCCACGAAGGGCACAAATCACACTAAGACCCAGACACAGCCCATATGCTGCACTACTGAATACGTGAGGGAAAAAAATGCTCCAGAAGCCGGTGAAAAGTTAAGTGCTTTCAGTCAAGGGTTGGTGTCCTGCTTCTCATTACACTATTTTCCTTCCCCTTCCCCAAAAGAGCCTGAACATAATGCAAGTTACTGATATGCCAAGGGACCTAGTTTATCAAACCCAGCACTTTGATCCACATACTCAGACAAGTCTCATTTAAAAGTTACCCTCCTGGAAAACCTGAGGAACCCAGAATCACAGCCTGGTATCACACATCTCCTATTATCCAGCCACCCTGCCTTGAAATCACCCACTGAATGTGAAAGAAACATGAACTTTGCTCTCAAGGTGGATGGGGCGAGTAAAGTTGCCAACCTATTTCTCTATTCATAAAGAAAAGGGTTTCCAGAACCATTTGGACTCTGATTCCTAAGGAGCAATCCAACATCAATTCTCTCAGTTACAAGATAATCCAGCCATCAGTGCAAGAATAAAACTTGTTGGTGTCACTTTCAAATAAAGCATTTCATGCACACTGTTTGACAAATCATACCATTTCTTCACTGAAGAGTCATTTCAAAGACCAGTCACCAAATCAAGAGCTGAGAAGAGCTCAGACCACATCTGCTCCTACTTGGATGGCAGACATTCAACATTTTCACTGCTTGGCACAAGATGCAATCTCTCACACCGTACTACAACTACTGACAAGGCACACTGATTAAATCATTAGTAACACAGATGAATATTTTCATACATTTTTATGTATACAGATGCGCACAAGTATATGCGCATTTGAGATATACCTCTCTGTATGATTTTGGATGCTCCTACTCTCGTGATGTTTAAGTCCTTATCAAGCCACAGCCTAAAGTCATGCCTTATCTAATTATTTTGAGGCATTCTTCATAGCAAAGGAGTAATTATGGATTCAGTGCTGGCGGTTTCACCAGCAATCAGCAGTATTTTGTAACGCTAGCACAGGTATTTCTACAAGAGCAAATACGTTTCACTTTGAAAAGCTGTGCCATGCCAGAAATCAAAAAAATTTTTGAAAAAAAACCTGTTAGTGGTATGACTAACAGCAGCCACTCCACCCAGCGCATCCACCCTTGCTAAATCCAAATATCCAGATGACAAGCAACCTTTCCATACTACTTGCCAGCAGTTGCTTCAGCTTAGCTGCCTTCCCAGAACTGAAAAAGCATCACCAAAGTTCAAATTCAAAGATCAAAAGATGTCTAAAGATGCAAGCAGACACCATAATATTAGTAGCTAAGAAATACCATTCGAAGATGAAGGAATCAAAAGTTCTTTGTGGCTTAGCTTTAGGAAACCCATCCTTTGTAGTGCCTGCACATTGTAAGTTTCAACCTCGGCTGCTGACTCACGGGGCAGAGCAGCAGTAGGTAGATGGAGGAGGAAAGAAGCAGAGCAGAACATAACTGCGCATGGCACTCAACAGAGAGTAAAAGCACAAAGGCTTGCAGCAGGTAACTGTCATCTCCGAGCAAGAGACACACCTTAGCCAGCAGGGTGGAACTGGGCAGGCATGCTCATCTGGAGGTTTCTATCTTCACTTCCTGCAGCCTTCCGGGCAAGGAGGATGAAGCTGCCAACCAGACTGTGGCTGTTAACAAAGGAAACGGACTAGAACTTGGGGAAGATGACAGTTACAGGGCAGGAGAAGCTCACCTTCCCTACATGAGAGGTTTGTGCTAGCACTGCTGCACACCATTAGACACAACTAGAATAATTTCAGTATAACCACTCTTTAATATGGCTTGTCAATTTACCATCCAGAGGTGTTCAACCTTCCCAGACAAACACAAACACAAGCTCCGTGTTACAATGGCACAGCATGGGATTTTACTCATAACCTACCCTTAGGATCCGTATCTCAGAGGACAGAGGCAGATTAAGAAGTCTGAAGAATAAGCTTTATGCTCAGATTCCAAAGGGAATCCAAAGAAGATGGAGCAGAATCACAATGGCATTAGTATCAACACCCAAATTTCAGCGCCAATCTTTTCACAGGAAACCACAATCAGTGCCCTATACAAGTTGCACCATTTTCACAAAGGTGAAGCTTTTGCAAATTAACTATAGGCACAACTGTAGAAACAATTTCTTTGGAAGATGGAGAATCTTAAACACAGCAAGAAATTTATTCAGTTCATTCAATGAATGTATTTCCAAGTTATTTTCAAGCAACAGTAACTTATTTTAGAGAAGTCTCTAACTTGTGGTTAGAAACTAATCTAGGTGGCAGCATGCAAGGAAGCACATAGGTAGTTTCAGCACAATCCAAAGCAGCACCCTTGTACTTGAACCAGAACACTTATCAAGATGCAAATTCTGTTACTTTTAAACTCAGGTCTCCTAACCCAATTCAGGGTTAAATCAAAAACTTACTTGCTTCCTTTCTCATGCTTGCAATACTAGACTTCAAAAATACACAGCATAACCACTGAAGACTGCATGCCACACCATTACCACTGCACTACACACACACACAGCTTCCTGCAGCCAGAATATCTTGATCACACAGAATAGGTTCGCATACTTTCCATACTGCTGACACAGGTCTGTGGAGCTCCTGCTGCACTGCAATGCTGCTTCACTATCAAAAGCATCTGGAATCCTGCTCCTGGCACAGAGATATATTTACTCCTGGGCTTTGAAACACGCTCAGGTGTACTATACCTGTCATAGAATATCCTGTTTCCAAACCTCAGTTGATCATTAGTCCAAAATTTGCTGCATATTTGTTTTGAACAGACCCCAGTAAGTCAACTCGAGTCTGACAAAGCCAATTTCTACCTCTTTCTTTCCAACTTTTAAAGGAAGATGTCTTACTTAGATAATAAAGTATAATTTTATTAAGAAAGAAGATCTAAAAATGTCTCTTGAAGGCCTCTGTTTTTCCTTGCATGAAGCAGCACGTTAAATGAACACCAATAATTTAAATGCACTTAACAAGTTACTAGCTCCTACCTTAAGAAATAAAGGGCTTTCATTTTCTTTTCAGTTTACCTTATGAAGATGAGCTTACTAACAACAGGACCAACAAGCACAAGCCTAAATTCTCTGCATCTCTGTGCTCAGCTAGTGTAGTACTGCACACAGGTCACTTCATCAGACACACATCTCAAATACAGCTGAGCACATCTCAATTACCTCTGCACATACAGCACCCACAGCAAAGTGCAGACGATTTTCTGCCTCACAATAACCGACACAGCAGCTACAAAAGTTACTGCACTGACTCCCCCCACCGCAGCATAATACCTCACATGTTCCCCAGCCAATTGCCCACCTTCGCTCCTGAAAACAGCAGCATACCGCTTCTCTCACGATAAAACACAGAAGAAGCAAAGCCCCCACTCACCAGTACAGTGGTGCAGATGGACCTGAGCTCAGACTCCACCTTCTCCCTATAGTCCTTGATAAGCTGCATCTTCTTGTCGCTGGTGTCTGTCTTTTGCTCGATGCTGGAGATAACTCTCCAGGCAGAGCGTCGCCCCCCCACCACATTCTTGTAGGCCACGGAGAGCAGGTTGCGCTCCTCGTTGGACAGCTCGGCCCCCTGCTCCGTCACCGCCTTCATGCAGGTGGCCATGTCGTCGTAGCGCTCGGCCTGCTCCGCCAGCTTGGCTTTCTGGATCAACTCGGTCTTATCCATGGTGGCCGGCGGCGGGGCGAGGGCAGTATCGCAGCAAAGGCAGGAGAAGCCGGAGACGTCACGCCGCCAGCGAGAGAACGAGCCTCAGAGCCTGCCAGGAGAAGGATGGCGACCGTGACTCCGGGAGCCGGCGCTTCGCACCGCGCCCTCGCAGCCCGCTTACCGGGGCCGCAGAGAGCTCCCCATCCCCACACGCGTCCCGCGGCGCAGCGCCGGTACCCTCCCACCCTGCGGCAGGGACGGGCGCCGGTCCCGGGGCCCGCCCCGGGGAAACGACAGCGCGGAGACCCAGCCAGGGACGGGACGCAGCTCCAGCCGAGGAGCCGGTAAGATGCACCGGCGTACGGAGCGGCTTCTTGTCCTCACCCTGCGCGCCCCGATCGAGCGCACCGAAGCGCTGCTAAACGCGGGGACGCGCAGGAGGACGGCCGGCTCCCAGAGAGCCCCTTCGTGCCCGCACCCCGCAGGGGAGGGCCGAAGGAAGGCGGGATACGGAAAAAGATACTTCAACAGAAAGCGAGCGGCGCGGTGCGCTCGGCCCCGAGGCCGCAGCCCAGCGGGGCGGGAGGCGATACCGGGACCGGGCGGGGCCCCGCGGGCAGCACGGGCCGCTTCGCCTCCTGGTGGCGGGGCGCGGCGGGACAGACCCTCCCCCCGGCGGGAGCGGCCCCGGCCCGGGACGGAGGCCTTCCATTCCCATCCAGGAGCGCCACGGCCGTCGCCGGGCGGGGTCAGGTTCGGGGACGAGGCGAGGGCGGGGGCCCGACGGCTTCGCGGCGGCCTCGTCCCCGGGGACGGCGGGGCTGGGGGCGCCGAGGCGGGAGGCGGCGGCGGAGCGGGAAGGTCGGGGCCTGGAGCGGAGGGGAAAAGCTCCGGCGGGTGTGAAATGGCGGCGCCGCCCGGCGGCTCCTTCCGCCGCCCGCGGCCGCCGAACGCTCCGCACCGCGCTCACAAAATGGAGGACGAGGAGCCGAGGCGAGGCGGGGCCCGGCGGCCGCCGGTGGAACGCGGCGCCGTGCTCACCTGAGTCCGCTACGCTAGGCCGGGCCGCGGGCGGCACCCGATCGGCTGTGCCTCGCTCGGGGCTGTGGCGGAGAGAAAGAGCCGCTCCCGTCGCGGGCGAGAGCCAGCGCTAAAGGGCGTTGGCACAGGCAAGCCTACCCGCTGCTCAGCCCGCGCCCACGCGGCCAATCGCGGCCTCTTCTGCGAGCCCGGCCCCGCCCCCCTGCGCCCGCACAGCCAATCCGAGGACGGCGCGCCGCCGCGGGGGCGAGCGCAGGCAGAGCACAAGCTCGGTTGGCCCGTGGGCTGCGGCTGGGGCCACGGGGTTTCCTCCAATTAGATCCAGGGTGAGATGACGTCACTGTCGCCATAGCGATACTGCTACAACCCCCCCCCCCCCCCTCCGCTCTCCCCCGGCAGCCGCCTGGCAGCGGCGCGGGAGCGGGCGAGGGCGGCGAGTGGGGGCGCGGCCCGTGCGAGGGTGTCCGTGCTGAGAGGGGGGCGGGCCTCACCGCGCCTTCTGCGCTGTGGCGCCGGAGGGCTGTGCGGGGCGGGCTCGGTGCGAGGGGCCGCGGCTGAGGGGCCGGGGGCGGGTGTCGTACCGGAGGTGCCTCCAACAAAGGGCGGCTGTGGGAGGACAAAGTGCGTGGTCCCGAGGCCGGGCTGGAGGCGGGCTGCCCGGCGCCCTCCTGGCGCGTTCGCTCCGCGCGGGAATGCCGCCTTTGTGTCGGCGGCCGCGCGTTTCCCAGCGAGAGATTTCCAGGAGCCGCTGGCAGATGCCCGCGGCCGAGCCGTGCCCCGGGAGCCCGGTGACAGGAAATTGCTCGTGAAGAGTTAATGGCGCTGTGCCGTGGGGCCCCGGGCAGGGAGAGGCCGGCGCTGCCATGGGCAGCGATCGATACATTTGCTTTTCCCCCCGTCCCGATTTCACCTGGACTTAATTTGCAGGAGGTCGTAGATGCAGTGCACTGAGGCAGGAGTTTTAGGCTCGTACTGTTAGTACATACAAATAATAAAGTAATGCCCATCCATCGTGAGCCAGCCGTTGTGTGCGTCTCCAAAAGCTGCCCAGATCCCAGAGGATCTGGAGAGGATCTCCGCTAACGGGAGAGCGGCCTTGTGCCTGCGTCACTGTGCTCAGGAGGGCTCCAAAGCCCTTTGGTCCGTCAGGCCTCAGGCTCGTACATCCCTTCACACAGCACACCATGTCTGTGAAGCAGTGAAATCCCTCACCTTTGCTTTCAGCATCACCAAATTTAGTCATGTCCAGCAACTCCGGCATCCTGACAGGATGATGAATGCTCTGAATCACCTCAGGATGTTGTCGTCTCAGCTCCTGTCTGTGTTTGGATAGGGCTGCGATGCACGTGGGCATGAGGTCTGTGCTGTGAACCAATGCTGTTGGTCATTTGAGTGGGGGATGCATTTATTCTGTTATAAAAGAGAGCCTATTGATAATACTCCTTGTGAAGTTAACGAAACTCTTTCAGAAAGAAATGGAAATGTATTACTCTCTCTCAGAAATAACTATCCTGGCAATTTCCTATGGCTTTAGTTTGCCTTTTTGTTCTTTCTTGACAGTAGGATATCCTCTTGTTTTCACCAGATCCCAAGTCATCATCTCAATTTACATGTGAAGCAACAACCAAAATCGACCAGTTGTGCTACAAAACGTATGATTAATATCTTGTCTCCATCAGAGACAAAACTATTTCACCGGTAAGACACAGAGTGTGGATTTCACTTAAGGAAGGATAGCTGATCTAATCAAGGCTACCTCCCTCACTGATTCCCCTCCAAAATTGTAATAGTGGTACAATTAGTCTCTCACACAACATAGCCCATACCTCCTTCCCACCTGCTGAGAACTTGCATGAAGAGGGGAGATTTAGATTGGGAATAAAGAAAAAGGTTTTTATACAATAAGGGGAGCAAGTCACTGGCACAGGTTGCCCAGAGAGGTGGTGGATGCTCCATCCCTGGAGATGCTCAAGCTCAGGCTGGTTGAGGCTCTGAGCACCTGATGGAGCTATGGGTGTCCCTGTTCACTGCAAGGGAGCTGGACCACATAACCTTTAAGGGTCCCTTCCGACTGAAATGATTCTATGACTAAGAGCTGCAGAACTGTCTTATAAGTGTGGAAGTGCTGGTCACAGCAGGGCTGTGTGCAGAGAGCTGTGTGATGAGCCAGGATATAACTGCACATGCTGTGCAGTCGCTGTGTCTACAGGTCAGCGGCATGGCTTGAGTAGCTGATTCCAGAGCTGTGCTACAGTTTTTGTCAGGCATCTGTTCTGGGGGCTTTAGAGCACCATATGGTTTTAAAAATCACAGTCATAATCTTGTTTCCCCATTGGAACCCTATCTTGAAGTAGGAATTGTGATCTTTCATGAGAGGAGGCTGGAAGAAGTTGTTGTGTTTAGATTAACAAAAGTTAGGCGGAAATTTGGTGCCTGAAAGGAGGTTAAGCATTGGTAGATTATTGTATTGGTATTGGTATTTAAATGTAAGACAATGTATAAAACGGGCATTGATGAAGTTACACTGTGAATTAGAAGATCTGGTATTTTCAGAGCAATGAGTTTGTGGAGCAACTTTCCTGCACTGAGAGCTGCGAGCCCATCTGCTTTGAAATCGAGTCCTGATCAATCTATAAAAGTGCTTATGTGATACAGTTGCCTGAGATAGCAGGAGACTAAACTCCAGAAGCTTTCCAATTCCTTGTTTCTATTTAATGTTGCTTTTAATGCTTATTCCATGTATAATTTAATGCACGATTTACTGCACAGCACTATCATCCATTAAATAAAAATATTAATTTCCTTTAGAGCATTTTAGAAATGCTGTCATCCTGCTAAACATTAACAGTGTTATCTGTGTAACACCATTATGAAATGGATGGCATTATCTTTTCTTATGTCCAGGAAATGAAAAAATAACACCTCTAGATACCTGTGTGGTGAAATATAAGGATTCCTTTTGCAGCGTGTTGGACAATCAAAGGCTTACATTTCAACTTTCTAATGCTTACATGTATTCAGAGTCCACTTCTCACTGACTTTAGATGTGCCTATGGATGTTCAGCATCTCAGCAGCTCACATAACAAATTACTCAACTGAGGTGGGGCAGAAAATGAGGAATACACATAACACAAATTCCTTAGATTTGCATGTGAATTTGAGGATGGAGTTAGAATTCAGCTTTCTAGAGGTTTAATCATTTGCCGTAACTTTAAGGCTGCTTTCCCTTTCTTTACCTCACCTTTTGCTCAGCTCTTGCCCATATTCTCCCTAGTCTTGCCCTCCTTCCTGTAATTCCTTACCCACTTCTACTCACTGGCCTTTTCTTTTTCTCAGCTCCCAAGAAAACCTGTGAGTGCAGGACAGGGCTTGCTTAAGAGGACTGAACATTCAGTAGTCTTATGTGAGAGCTGGACTATGGAGGCTTGAGAAAATGTACTGGCAAATTTTAAGACGTTTCCTGAGCATACTCAAATGGAGTTTTTTTGTGAAGTTTACCACATTTGGGTAGTTTTCCATGAAACCTGCAGAAGACTTGACCTCAACTGGCCAACTTCTTGCTAAGTTTAAAGGAGCCACTCTAGTGGTTGTAGATGGTTTGGAGACTTGGGAACAAAGGAATAAGGTGAAGGTCTTCTGTTACACTACCGTAATTTGTGTTTACTCTGTAAAGGTGCCGGAGATTGACAAAAGTGCTCTTCATGTTAAACCTACATTAAAGGTAAAAAGACACCCATCTACGAGGCAAAAGCATCACCATCGTCCAGTAAGTAACACATAACTGTGAGCTTCTGGGACCAAGCTCTTTAGACTTTATTCAGCCTGACTCCACATTGTATCTGCATTATGCTGTGAGGAAGGCCACAGGACTTCCTATGTTTTGAAAATACTCGCAGGGTTCGTTCATTACTGTGTTAAACAAGTCACTTCAGGGAGGGCAAGCCTCTAAAGGAAGTTGTTGAGTGTGTAGACTTATAATGGGTGCAGTTTTTCTGCAAACTGTGTCCTCATGGGAGAAGAAAAATCACAACATGTCTGGGTTAGGAAAGGTGAGTGTCAGTGTGGGGTGGTGGCATTGAATTTCATGTCTACTGCTGTTCACCATTTGTCTGGTTTAGCTTGCTGCATGTTAAGTGTATCTGTGCTGGGAGTCATTTGTCTTTGCTGCTGAAGGATGATGCTGATGGTTATTGATACCTGCTGCTGGGGTAAATGCTGCTGTAGCCTGATAGACTGGAGCAGCTATTGATCATGGGTGGTAGTAAAATCTCAGTATTTGACACTTGCTTTTTCATACCATTGCAGTTGTTAATGTTAAATTCTACCTCTCTCTCTGGGTGTGAAATTACTGTCACGTTATTGCATATAACTGTGTTTCTCTGCATCTTTTCCTTCTGTGTTGTGTGGTACAGAGGAGTGGAAGAAACTCTGGGGAGTGCAGTCAAATCTCTTTTATCCAAGTGAGCTGCCTACCTCCCTGCCACAGGCCTGGGAGGATGCTGGCTGGACACAGAGCAGTTCCTCTTTGTGCTGTTTGGATAAGAACACAGGCCTGGCAGTGCTGGCCCCAAGCAGGTCCAAGGAACCTCTTGCAGAGTGGCTCTTAAGCCTTAGGGCCAGTCTAGGCTGCAGCTGCCAGGAGAGAGCTGTGAAGGAGTCCCAGAGGGGATTCCTCTCCCGAAATGCCATGCATGGGTCTAGCAAGGCCTAAGGACAACACTTTTGAAGATATCCCTTGTGCCTCTTTTTGTTTTGCCTGTCCCAAAAACTTTGACTTGCAAGGGGAAGGGCAGAGGAGCCAGCTGGGGCTAAATGACATCCATGAAAGTTGAGGTGTGTCTTTTTTTTATAGAAATGAAACAAACAGTCTTGTAATGGATTCTGTTCAGTGAAATGCAACTTGTTCTGCCAAAACATAATAAAGCGCCCGCTTTTGCATGATCAAACAGGAGTGGCAGAAGTCACAGAGACTGCCAAGTAAATGTTATCCTCCTGAAGCTTCTCCTATTGGGAGGTAACAATAGGACCCCTAGAATTAAGATAAATGCAGCTAATTTCCTCATAATGGTGATTTGATTATTCTTTCTTTACAAGTAACTAGTTCCCTTTTCTAATTATATAGCTTGCTTTTATCCAAGAAAAATTACCCAATTTACGAGAGTGAACCATTAAAGTCACTCATCTGTGAAGAGCTTATTGTAGTGCCAGCTTCAGAAAACATCTATATTGCAAGGGATACATATAGATTTTTGTATCTTCTGCTGTTTTGCTAACGGTCGTGACAAATGAGAAAGCAGATAGCAGGAATGGATGTGTAAGTGGAAATGAAATCACGGCGCTGGAAGCATAGACCCTTACAGCCATGTAGCGTGTCTTTAAAGCAGGGAGAAGGTCTTGGAGGGAAAGGGGGTACTGAGGGACAAGACAGAAACGTGTGATGTTATGCTGGTGGTTGGCGACCCTGCACATAGCAGGTGGGTTGAAACTAAATGGCCATTATGGTCCTTTTCAATCCAGGCCATTCTGTGATTCTATGATTCCTTCTCTGGCAGCTGCTCTAGGGCTCTCCAAAGGGGAGATGGGACTTCACCCAACCCGACTGCACAGCAGGATGGGAGTGTTGGTGTGTAGCCAGGAGCATGGTGAGTTTGGGAGAGAGCTCAGGTTCCGCTGGTAGGCTGCTGCTGGCTGCTCTGATTAGTCTGGTTGTCCAGAACTGTGTAGCGAGGGATGTAAGCGACATAGCTGGTGCAGAGGTGTACACCCTCCTACTAATGATATTACATCAAACAACAGTTGCAAAATGTAGACAAGCATTTGATCCAAAAGCATCCATTCTCTGTATAAGTAAAACATAATCCTTTGCTCTATGATATTATCATATTAATGATGATAGATATTGAAGGTCAAGGACTTGTCTGAATTGGGAAGCTGACTGTTAAAGAAATCAAAAGAAGCATCTGTAGTTATGTAAGCTGGGGTAATTCCCCATGTGAAAACTGTTCTAGAAAAAAAGCCACTTTTATTCTGAAATGCTTCTGCTAAGGGATCAATAACAGCAGAACTGCAATTATCAGATTATTCTCAGTGTTGGCAAACCATAAGAACAAAGGATATAAGGGAGAGGACAGAAAAGATGGGGTAGGAAAGAAGGTAGAGAAGCAATGCCTGTGGGACAACTATCCAGACTCCTGTGAACTCTGCAAGCCAACATAAAGGTTGTAGAAAGAATCAGAACAGAAGTTTGTTTCAAGGTAAGCTATTTTTTTCAAACTCTGTTTTGAAGTGTTCCTGTGTTAGCTTCCCATGCCAATAGGATGTGTGCATACCGAACTTTTTCTTACAATCTGTAATGGAAAGAGTCTTGGTTATGAATTTATTTAGGACTCAGTACAGCCTTCTTTGTATGCAGGTCAGAAATCTGAAGACTATGACAAAGCATGTTAGGTCCCTACCTAGTTGTGATTGCATGCCCAGTACACAATAGTGATTTATATGCAGAATGAAATAATTTTTCAGTTGAAAAAGGGGATGACACGTGCATGTATGTGTGTATGCATATATGCATATTTTAGGCTTAAAGCTCTTTGATAAGCCAAGAACAGGACACTATGTCTGCATCTTTAATAATTGAGCTTCTTGTAGTGTTTAGCATACAACATCTTTGCTTTACTGAAATATTTTATCACGGTCATATACTGTGATTATAAGCAAGCTGCTTAATGATGACCCATGCTAATGCAAATTGTGTCACTTAACTACTTGCATTAATATTGTAGGAAGCCTCAGATACATGGAATGAGCATCCATGGAGTTGCAAGCAAGAGAAAAGAATGAGACTAGTGAAAGAGGTCTCTAGGCAATGAGTTGTCTCCTACATTAGTGGGATGAGCTTACCTATGGGAAGTTTTCCCATAGGTAAAAACTATTTCCTTCCCATTTCCTTCTGGAGAAACCTAAGTGAGAGATACTCCCTCCACCCCTTTCTTCTCTTCCCATTCTGCTGCTAATGAGAGAGTAATGCTTTCAGTTGAGGTAAACAGCTATGCCTACAATATGTAGCCCCAAAACATCAAGGTAACACATCGTGGTTTGCTGTGTTAGGTAATGCTTTTTCTGTAGTGGGAGATACTTCTGAATAGAGAGACTTAAATGTGAGACTCATTCATGGATGAGTAGATGAGGGGTTTAGTGTGAGGGTACTACATGTTCACTATGGCAAACAGGGATACTGGGAGGAGTTTTTAGAACTAATTTCCATGTACTTAAACACCGGAGACTTTCAAACAGAATACACAACTGTAATTAAATTCTGATATTTATTTCATTCTGTTTCTTTATAGGATTCCTCCTAGTGCAGCTAAATTGTTCTTGTTCTTCTCAAATTATTCTTTCAGTGTAACTTTCAGTAAAGTGTTTTTCAGCGGTTAATACTTACTGATACACAGCTAGCATGCTCCCTCCTTGTTCTTACCAACAGGGAGTTCTGTGAATTCGTTTAATTTATGTAAGTTTGAGCACCATGTTTTTTATAAAACTGCCTATGCTTAGAAGTTATGCATGGATCATCAAAATGGTAAGATAATTAAGAGGAAAGCTTTAGTATAAAAGATTTTGTTAACTATATCAAGTGTTCCATAAATCTGTTTTTCTAACATCATAGCAATCTTAGCTACTTTATTCAAAACTTTCCAAGTTTGATATTTTTTATTTCCTTGGTTAATTTTAAATATAGAGTGATTTTCTTATCTTTTCCTTATCTCCAGCATAAGAAACTTCTCAAAGCTGAAGTTTTATTGATCGTTACTTTTCCAGCAGCCCCTCCTTGTGTTTCAGCAGATAACACTGGATCAGAGCCAGAGCCGTTCCTGGCTTCATTCCAAACATTTCCCTGAAAATGAATACACAAACTGCCCATCCTTCCTATACTATGGACTCAGTGTGCATAATACAGAAGAAACGTCTGGTTTTGTAATGTGATGCCAAAAACAAAGCTTTCATTACTCCTTGTGAATAGGTATTTCTTCTTAGTGTGCATAACTTAAAAAATATGTCGTTGCTGTTATTGTGGCTGTCATACTATTCCATTCTGGAATCTGGAATATTATAGAAATGAAATACTATATGAGAAGTGAACCTTGACAGACATTTTCCTAGAACATGTCTGAAGCGACCTTTCTGGGAACAAATGAATAAAATTCATCCTTCTCAAAGCAACGGTCAATTTGTTCTTAAGAGCCATCAAATCTGTGGCTTGTACACATATTTTGTCCAGTGAAAAAGCATAATTTTCCTTTTTTCTTTTAGATGGAAAATGGCAATCAGTTATACCTCTCAAGTCTGGAAGGCCTTTCTGCTTGAAATGGTCTTCGAGTCTGGGTCATGACACAAAGTGCTGCGCGTTGGTGTTGGTGTAATGGGTTTTCTTTTTTGACCAGCACCCTGTTGTCTTCAGGTTTTTAAACTGTAAGACAGTTAAACCATTTTAAACAACTCATCTTGACTCCAAATATTTTTGTAAGAAAATAGTCCTTTGGTGAAGTTGACTAGATTGGCAGGTAGCCATCAGTGAGGGCAGAAAACCGTTATGTACGTAGGAGAATATTGTAGCCGTCTCTGCTAGGTAGCTGCCCAGGTACCATGCTGGCATGCTGGCAGCAGTCTATGTAGACATGATGTGAAATAACAAAGACTTCACCTGGCCAGCAGTTGTTTGAGAAGCAATTAGTTCTCCAGTTTCATAAGTTTACAAAGGAGCTAAGAACCCATTTTGGAGTCTTGTGGAATAATTAGAATTTCCGCATCGAATTTTTGTTGAATATGAATTAACTCTTACAGATTGATAGGATGATGTATCCTGGAACATAAATGCTGTTTTACAGGATTTTGCTAGGACACTCCCCAAAAAGACACGTGAGTTTCTCCCTTGTAGGTACAGTTCCGAGTTCCTGAAATTTTGAGCATGGAGGCCCTAGCATCTCTTTGTTGCCTGCAGAAGGCATTTCCAGAGGACAATTCTTCCCATCCCACTGAGACTCTGGAAAAGTCTCTTTCCAGATCCTTTAGCAGCTGCACTCCTAACAAGATGAAACTGGCTGAACATAAGGCAAAGGCTAGCAATATGAGAGCAATTTGATAAATATTCATCATGGCTGAAGTTTCCTCCTCATGGACCAATACAGAGACTATATACTATTTGAGTGGAGGCTGAGTTCACTCAGGTGGTGCCCAAGTGATGGTCAGGCCCTCACTGACACTGTATGTAGAACTGAATTTCATATTGTTTAAAGCATCGTTTGTCAGGACCCTGATTTCTCTAGATTTTCTCCCTTTGTATCACACATACTTTCATTCAAAATCATACTTCCTTCAGGTGGAGAGGAATATTCTGCATTGCTGATGCAGTTGACTTTATGATTGTTGGCACACAGCAGTTTAATAGGTTTGAGCAAACAGTAGTTGCAGAGCCCAGTAGATACAATGATTGTCATCAGGAGTCATTTAGTGCTTTCTTTTACAGGGCACAAACACCCTGTGACTCACACTAACAGGATAAGGTCAGATTTTCATGTGGCGTAAAGCAGAGGAAAACGTTGCCTGTGGTAATGTGTGCGTTTTCTGTATTAAATTAATTAAAGATTTTTTTCTTGTGTGCTCCTTGTAAGATTTATATAATCTGAGTCAGTCCAACCCTGCATCTGAAATTCTTCTGTTGTGCTTTTCTGGACACTTTCTCTTTCACATGAATCTCTGTGATGGGAAACTTGGAACAGAACACCAACTGCAAGGTGAGACCGTATTGATTTAGACAGTGGTTTAATGCTTTCTTTTTTTCTCTGTCCAATACTTTCTCATACTTTGTCAGCTCTTTAGAGTGTTTCTGAACATTGTGCAAATGTTCTTATTTTGCTGACCACATCAATACTCAAATATTTTTTCCAAGGCTGTAGTTGATAACATGAAGTTTTCCTCGTTTTTTGTGTTGCCCACTCAACCAGCGTCTGTTAGATCTGTATGCAGTTTTTTCACAGCCTTATCTCAGGCTTCTGTTTTGACTGTCAAATAACATCATGTCACTTGCAAATTCACCCTGCTCAATCACTTTTCCAGATCATTAGTCGAGACGTTGAGCAGCACTCTGCATCTTTAGGCACTGTGCAGTTAATCTTTGGCCTCAGTGAAAGTAAAGCACACATTCCCACTTTTCTGTCTGCATTGGTGACAACAGCAAACATTAATATGGCTGATAAGGCAACTAAAAAAAATCTTTTCCTGTAGATCACAGCATTGGGTGAAGTTTGAGCCAGTTTGGATAAAAGATCACACTGTGAGCAGCTGTGTTGGCCTCAGAATCTCAGAGTGGTTCCAAGAAATCTGTAGGGGTTGCAGGAGTGGAGCCCACAGGTGAGTGTTTCCTCCTGCACACAGAGTCACGCAGTTGCTGTATCTGTAATCTAACCACCAAGGTGCCTCCAATGGGCAGATGAAGTCTTGAATGAGAGGTGAAGTGTGGGCTAAGGTGATAGATGCATGTTCTGTTCTCTAAGTATGCACAAGCCTCCCTGATGCATGGAGATGGTACAAAGTGGACCAGCCTGTGCTGGGATCAATGGCGTTCTGTGCCATTTTTTCCTTTCTCCTGCCAGTCTTTCTGGCTGTCACCAGAAAGGGATATTTCTGCACACTGCTTGTCATTACTGTGGTTCATTCAACAAGCATGGAGGAGTATGGAAGTCTCACAATCCCTAGAAATTCAGCTCTTTTTTTGGATAATGTTACATTCCCAGAGATTCAACCTAGGATGACTAAGACTTGGCATCTCTCACATTCCCAAATGATTGCCTGGCCCCATGTCAGATATGGGCCTTCCACCATTCTTGTGCTGCTGAAATATCAATGCTGTTCCATTGCAAAAGAGCTACTTAATGACTTAATGTCCATGTTTAAGCATAACAGCATTATGTGAGACATTCCCTTACTTAATTCATGTCATCCCTCAGATGTTCACAAGCAGCTTGTGGAAGGTATGGGTTGGGGTGTGAGGAGAAATGTGTGAGTGCATGAGGAAAATGAGATCAGATATCAAAATATCAGGAAAGAATTCCCTGCTGAGAAACTGGAGAAAAAAAGAGTCGTTTCATTAGTTGGAACTAGATGGGTATGTCTAGTCCAATTTGGCAAGGAAGATCCACTTTTCAACACTTCACTAAGGCAGCTTCTGCAGGAACCATTCGGGCAGGCCTCTCTCCTCTCAGGTTTGTCATTAATTACAAACAGTAGAATTATACTCTGGATGCCTTTGGGAGGGCAGTAAGAGGGACACTGGAAAGCCCTGCGCTGGCTCAGCAAAGCACAAGAGGAGATTCTGCACTCAAGTCCAGGTGGGGGCAATGCCTGGTTGACAGCTTCTGCTTCAAATACCACAACTTGCTGTGCAAGTGTAGCCTAAACCTGTATGCTAGCCTGCATCTCCCTCCTTCTTTCTGCCAAAGCAGCCACAGCATCTCTTGAACTTGAACTTGTTTTTTTCAACAAAAAATGCCTGGCATCTTAGAGCATCCCAAAGAGACCTCAGTAGGACTTTCAGTGCTGACACATTCACTTTATTACTGGTAAAAGTGAATCTTCTTATACTTCCTGGCATCACACTTCAGTTTCTCAGCCCTGCATCTCATCAGTAAGGAATTTTAACATTTTTTAGCTAGAAATATGAGATGCTCCTATTTTGCTGCTAAATTATGGCCTTCACAAGGCCAATGATAACAGAAATTCTGGTGTTAATCACTAAGTACATGACCTTATACTTTGTGATCTTCAGTTTTATCCTGCTTGTGTTACCTTTAGCCTGCCTGTTTAAAAAAAAATTGATCTTCCTTTGCAATGACAGAGACTTAGAATGTAATGTGCTCTAGTTTCACTAGTATGTTTTCATTTTCTTGTCCCAAGGTCATTAATGAAAGTATTAAAGAAGACCTGTTGCAAGGTCCCAAGCTTGAAGAAGACCTAATTAGGTGTGCAGAGTGTGTTTTGAAGATAAACAAGGGATGCAGCACAAATCCTGCCAAGCAGCCTAATCCCAGTGACTTCTGTAGAGTTATCCTGGTTACTCGAAAGCTTCTCCTTCAGTTCAGTCTTTTGTTCTGTGCATAGATAGCAAAATAGTGCCCTCTGCCAAGGCCTGAGTAGCTTTTTAAGGACAATTAAATAATTTGGAAGAAGCATGTTTAGACAGATAATACCACTGTTGAGGTGGAGGTGGAACACAAATACTGGTGTCTTACTGCTGAGTGCATTTTGCAGCAGCTTAGTAAGGACATAAACATAGCGTCCTGTGCAGATGTGGGAAGAGCAGTGGATATACTAGCAGTCAGATAAGGAGCCCTCACAGAAATGCTGTGTGCTCTCAGGGGCACAGAATCAGAAATGGATTGTGCTCCTGGTGTGACTCAAACAGCCGCTTGTGAAAAATAGATATGCCTCTGTATAAGGTATTAGTCAAGCTTATTACATGTCTGCTTGTGTTTGGGGTACTATTATCATGATTCATGTGCACATTTTACGTTATTCTATGTGAAGAATTAATCATACTTTCTGTGAAATTGAAAGATATTTTTTAGTGATTTTTGATAAATAATGAGGAGTACATCGAGGTAAACATTGAGCAAAAATCAGTATTAAGCATTTGCAAAATGTTAGGAGTATCAAAGGCAGAGGGCTCCAGGGTGGTTATCTACCCCTGCACAACCCCAAGAGCTGTTCTGCTGCAGTGTATGAGCCCTTTTCCTGCCCTCCTCTTCTCCTGATTGTACTGATGCTTTGCACAAAAGAGAAGAATACGAAGTTGCTTTCCATCCTGTAGGGATCAGCTCAGTGCAGTTACCCTTTTGTCTTTTCCTCAAGTTTGCATCACCATACTCATATTCTTTCTAGACATAAACAAATCCGAAGTTACAAGGATTTAATCTTCCCAGCTTTTGCTGGCCCCCTGGGCCTGTTGTATTAAGGCAGTGCCTTGCTCTTCTGGCCATTTTTTAAAAATACCATGGATGTTTAGATATCCAGGGAAGGAGCAGAAGGCTAGAGGGCTGTTACCTGAGAGAGATTTTGGTGTGTGTGCGTCTCTGTTGGGTTGATGGCTGCTTTAAGTACAAGGTAGCAAGGTGCAAGAGAGTTAAATTAGTAAGTGGGCAGCTTTAGCGCTGTTGTCACTTTGAAGGATGTCATTGTCAAGCACATTGCCAGCAGTCAAGATCAGATTTTTTCTTAATGATCTTGGGACAGAGTATGAGAATACATTCTGTTCCCCCAGAATATGTCCCCACACCAAAGACGAGCACACGTCCACCCAGTGTGAGCATCACCAGAGAGGTGGTCAGTACACAGCCTCCATGCTATCAGAGACCACCAGATTTGGCGTAAGTTCCTGTAAGTCCAGCAGGCCAGCATGAAATACTGCAAAATGACAGGAAAGCTGCAGAGAAATCCCCTACAGCAACTCTCAGAATTGCTTTCTTTTGGCAAGTGTCTGCAATGCCTGAGCTCAGCAATTTCCCTCATCACAATAATTGATGCTGGCTCAAAGCTGAGGGCGTTAATTTAATTGTAAGCCAGCAACATGTCTCTAGAAGTTGTTTTTTTGTTGTTGTTTTTTTTTTGTTTTTTTTTCCCCTTGTTCAGTAAGCACTGTTAGGATAAAATAACTTTTCCCTTCAACTGATGTGGTTTTGCTTTAGCTGTCTCTGGCCTTTGGCCAACAAGGCAAGGGAGGTGATTCTACTCTGCTCTGCTCTGGTGAGACACCATGTGCAGTGCTGTATGCAGCTCTGGGGCCCTGAGCATAAGAAGGACATGGACCTGTTGGAGCAGGTCCAGAAAGGGCTGGAGCACCTTTCCTGTGAACACAAGCTGAGAAAGTTGGGGTTATTTAGCTTGGTGACAGTGAAGCTCTGGGGAGACCTTACTGCAGTGTTTCAGTACTTTAAGGCTTGCAAGAAGACTGGAGAGAGACTTTTTACAAGGGCATATAGGGATAGGACAAGGCATAGTGGCTTTAAACTGAAAGAGATTAGGTTTAGATTAGATAAAGGAAAAAAATGTCTTATTGCTCTTATTGCTGAGCGCATTTTGCAGCAACTTAGTAAGGACATAAACATAGAGAGCGTCCTGTGCAGATGTGGGAAGAGGCAGTGGATATACTAGCAGTCAGATAAGGAGCCCTCACAGAAATGCTGTGAGGTGAGGAGGGAGATGAGGTTCTGGAACTGGTTACCCAGAGAAGCTGTAGGTGCCCATCTCTGGAAGGGGCCAAGACCGTGTTGGATAGGCCTTGGGCAGCCTGATCTGGTAAGGGTTAATCAGCCTACGGCAGGGGTTGGAACTAAATGGGCTTTAAGGTTCCTTTCAGCCCAAGTCATCCTATGATTCTGTAGATTTCTTTGACTGAGGTAATTCTCTGTCATCTAGGCAATCAGCTAAGTGAAGGAGGAAGCAACAAACATCGTGGTGGATATGGAAGGACATTCTGGGGGATGCAGAAGATTTCTTGTTGTCTGTGATCTTACTCGTTTTGAGTTCTTTTTGTAGGCTCTGAACATTTGCTGTTTAATATATCATGTGATACCTTCTGGAATGATCCTTTCCCCTGTCTGCGGAGTGAT